ATTGGTACAGAGAGGAAGGTGGCATATTGGATGGAGATTAGGTGTGGTTGTTGTTTATTTGTTGGTGAATCAAATAAGTAATTGAAATAAGTCAGTCGAGTAATAAACAAATTGCATTAGTCATTTGGGTTCAATTCATTCATTCATGCCTACACATGTATCGCATCATCCATCCATCCATCCATCCATCTCATTTAAATACCCCATCAAAAAACAACTCCACAAAACGAACCCTCCTCAGCATTAACAATCAAATCACTAAAATTTACCATTTCCACACCAGTGTACTCTTATGTTCATCACTAATAACACATCAATATCAACTACCTTTCGCCATTTTTTTGTAGTATTCATATTTTGCCATTCTCAGTAAACGTAACACCAAAACTTGATCTTTGAATGTGCATTCAGCACTTCTCATTTCAGTACCATTATCACTGTTACTGTTATCACTATTGTTACTAACAGTGCTCATGCCGTTCAAATCAGGCTTATTCTCATTATTCTCCTCACATTCTGTCTCATTACCATATTTATCAACTTTAATCTCCTCATAAGACTTCTCAATCGCCTCACAAACAGATGACTGAACAATCAAATGCTCAGGTACTATATAACCCATGTTCGACAGACCCATCCATAGTTCCGGTTGATGTGTCCTCAAAAATGGATTATATTCAAATTCATCGCAGAGTGTTGTTGGCATCTGAAATGATCAGTGATTATTTGAAAAATGAAAAAGGATGCAATCATAACTCACGCACAACTGCACAAATGAATTAAACATCGACAAGCACCCTTTCTCTTAATGAATATATCATTCGGAAACACGCCAACCCCAGTCCAATTCCGACCAAAACTATTCACAAATGCATTAAACACCAGTAATTAAATCTACAGAATATTATCAGCATAAACTAAACACAAAGCCAATAATACTTTATTCATTCGTCGTCGTTTAATGACAACCTCAATAACAACTTATATGGTTAGGACTGATAATAGATAATTGAATGTAGTAGGGAAGAGCCTGTACGAATAATAGAACGAAACAGGGAAATAATTCATTTAT